AATAGTATAATTGCAACAATCCCTTGATTTAAAAAAAAAGAGAGAGAAACATTAAAATTTGTATATGTTTTAAAATTGTTATTGTTAAAATTGTTGTATTGAATTTAAATTTTAAATTAACACGTTACATTTGTAAGCACTACAATTTTATAAACACTTTTTTTGTTTAAAAAAAAATGACCGTAAAATCTCCTGCCTTATTGCTTTTATAAAACGGCTGCTACATAATAAAATATTATATTGCAGCATAATAAGTCTGATAAATCTGCTCATTTCCACGGTTGTGTGTTTTAGGTTGTGGCGAGTGCAGTGGCAGTGGACGTTCTTCATACAGGTGCAAGCAACAATGTGCTGCAGCTGAAAGCTGGAGGCCGCCTGTATGTTCGGCTGAGCAACAGTGAACTAAGCAAGAGGGACTCACAAAGTCGGTATCTTCTCCGGTTACCTGCTATATGAGATCTGAGACCAACAGACACACATGATTCCTTTCTGCTTTAACTTCTTGCTATTAGTTTAAAGAGGCCTCTTTGTGTTCAGACTGTGGGTGTTTCCTTGAATAAAGAATGAATTATCTGGCAATCTGACTGACTGAGACTTTTCATTAAATATTAAATCAATTCAATTCTTCCATTTTCAAAGGCCGAGACCATGGGGAGATACTTCACAGGGCACTGGCACAGATATTACACTTGGACTTCAGGGACATTGAGAATGACACACTAAATAACAACAGATATACACACTCAGCAACAGCAGCTCAGTCCCAGTGCTTTAACAGTCCTGTCTCACACAAAGAAAAGGGCTTCAGATCAGATTCTCTGTAAGAGAGCAGTGGGACAAAATCCAACCCCAGACAATTGATTTCACTTAACCAAAGCTACATTTATTTGATCAAAAATACACTAAAACAGTAATATTGTGAAATAGTTAAATTCACAGATCAACCATTAAAATAGCTGTTTTCTATTTTAATATATTTTCAAATGTAATTTATTCCTGTTAAAGAATTAAAAAGTTGAATTTTCAGGAGCCATTACTGCAGTCTTGAGTGTCACACGATCCTTTTCAATTACCATTTTTACTACCTAATATTTTTGTGGAAACCGTAATACACTACCATACAAAAGTAAGAAGGAAAAAAAAGGTTGGTAATGTACATGTATAAAATATATATTTACTTACAATAAACATGATTAAAAAATCAGCATTATTACTTAAATTGTTATGCTATCTGTCAAATCCTCTGCACACTCAAACTCTGAGGATCATATTGCTACCGGTTCATGGCTGATTTTGAATCAGACATGAGCAATTCACTGGAGTTGTTAACCCTCTGAGGTCTGAGGGTGTTTTTGGGCCCTGGAGAGGGTCAACTGGAGACTCGCTCAGACCAGGTTATTTGCTGCATTTGATTTACCTTGGAAGTCAGATGTCGGAGCTGGGAATGACGTCACAACCAAGTGGACCATGTTCCAGGAGAGAAGTCAGAAAACCAAGATGGGCACGTCCATTGTTAGCAATACAAGTCGATTAAAAACACATAAAAAGCGGTGTTGTGCACAGATGATACTGTACTGAAGTATCATGTCCACAAATAGAGGTTGGATATCACTGTGTGTGTGCACCACTGAGTCTATTGAAACACAGACAAACATAAGTGCTAATAAACCATATATTACTACTGTTTCTCTTCTGGTGATGCTCTGAGCAGCCATATTGGATTCTGAAGTTTGAGTTATTGCGAATCCTCAGAGATTCCGAGTCGGAACTCCAATTTGGAAACAAAACTGGGAACTTGGAAACTGGTTTAAGGTCAAAATGTATCAAAGACTTCTACTTTCCTGTCCCAAACCTATCTTCAGTAACAAAAGGGCCATTTGGCATTCCTGAAGGCACAGAAGTGCTGATATCGATCAAGGCCTGTAGGCCAACATGTGTATACATCAGGGGTCTGCTAATTGTCACACCTTATGCCCAGTGGGTGAAGTTGTAAACTGCTGATTGGTCAGTTTTAATGTCTCACATTTGGTTTTTAGTCACATGGTCAAGGAAGGGATAAAAGAGGACTGTAACTGTTGCTCTGTCTCTTTTCTTTGTTGGAGCTCTTCTTGGGTCTCTGCCCTCTCTCCCTCTTTTTCTTCCTCTCTCTATTCCCCCCTCTCTCTATCTCTTTCTCTCAGGTAATATTTTACATGTTGGGTACAATTAACTATGCTTTACCATCCTTCATCTATTTTATAACCAATTCAAGTGTAACCATAACAAAATATTGTTATTAAACCATTTCAATTATTAATTATGTGTTAAATAGTCTTGATTCAAGGTTAATATTAAAGTGATACCTATTGCAATACAATAGTCACTCAATAGCAATGCTCTCCCACATATGTAGCTATTCTAACTGCGCTTATTTCCGTCGTTGGTATAAGTGGCAGTGGGTGGTAATAGACTAGAAATGTACAGTTTTATACCATCGTGCTGACAACGTTTCTTTAGTCATTCGGCAATCCTACAGCCTGAACCACCGTAGGGAAACCATCCTTACACTGGGAACTCGGAATTTCATAAATGATACATTCATTATAATTTGTGAAGTTACCCGTGTCCAAAAAAATTTAAAAAATTGTTCACAAACCGGACATTGCTATCATTGCTACCAGAATGGTTTTAATTTCTTCAGTTTGAAATAGAAACAAAGTTTTTATTATGTTTTTAGTAAAAGTTTACCAAAATGAAACAAATGATAAAGTAGCTACTTCAAGTATAGCTACCAAAGTGGGCTACTTAGTAAAAATTACCGTCAGTCACTGTTTTATGTTCATATTTTTGTATATGTACCATCATATTTTTATTTTTATATTCAGAATTTCATACTTCAGACATTAATTTCATAGCATAATGTTTTGCCATTATAGTCTCTGTGTAACTGTATTTTTGCCAAGTTGGTTCAGCATTAAACAGTAGGGCTTTTCACACTGTTCGTTATCGTCCTTCTGACCTGCTTTTAACCCCAGGTAGATGAACATTCACCCTTCAGGGCTTTTCACATTGTGCTTAACCCTGGATTACCATCATTCCAAACCCTGGAATGTGTGAAAATATGCCTGTTAATTATAAATGTCCCTTTGCAGCATAAAGAAAGTACTCGACAATAATATAGGGTGTGTAATAAATTGTATTAAAATATTTACAAAGAATATCCCTTTAAATCTAAAATCAGAACAACCCTCTAAATATCTATGTTAATGATATTTACCACAAATACAACAAATCGTAAAATGCGCTGTCAGAACAAAACTGAAATATCTTAAGAGCTAAAATAAATTTACTTCTAAGTAGTTTTCCCCAAATTTACCTGTTCTTTCACCTTTCACCTATATCTTCATTTAAAGCATAAAGTGACTTACATACAAAATATTTGGTTTCTTTTCATTGAAATTAAAAATCCCTTAGCAACTATACTGTTTAATGTTGTAAGAAAATAACACAAAAACTCCAGTAATACATCATGGCCTAAAGATGAGTTCAATGTCCAGAGTTGATGTTGGGTCTAAGTGCTTTTGGAGCTGAAGAGCACTTTGAATTCCACACGTTGCCCAAAAAAAAGTTTATGAACCCACTTCATCATGGTCTTATAAATATAGACTCAGTTAATACTTCACATGGCTGAGAATCGCAATCAATCGGGGAGAGAATAACATATCTTCTGTAATATGGAAACTATTCCTCCTCAGCTCTGTGAGGAAGAGGTTTGCAAAGCAGAGCAAAAGGTAGTGAACAATTACTGAAAAGCTTATTTGCATCATTCACACACTTAAAAACTTAAAAGTTAAAAGACACACACAGGCACTTGATTAATCCAGCTGAAACGCATGTACTGCACAAATTGTTTTCTAAATCAGTATCTTGTTTTCCAGTAAAGATAACTAAACTCTCAAAACGAGATACATTTACTTAAAAGTGACATATGAAAATCTGACTTTTCCAGGTTTTAAGTGCTATAATCAGGTCCCTGGTGCATTTACCAACCAAGGAAACGTGAAAAAGATTAACCCAGTAACTTTGTTTTGGTAAGCCTTTTTCTGCAAGCGTCTGAAAAAACAAGCATGTCTGATCTCTCCCCTAGTGACGTTGCAAAGGGATCTCATTATAATATTACCGCCCCTTACTCTGTAAATTTCCACCCACGGTGCCATCATTTTGATTTCGCAAGCTACAACGGTGTACCAGCTCTAATGCCATGGCGAAAGTTTGTGCAAAACATGCTAACTGTTCTGTCTTTGGCTGCACAGATGAGCACAGAACACTATTTAGAGTCCCAGCCTCAGAGGAGACAAGAGAGCAGTGGATTTATTAATTAATTTACTGTATTCTCCTGCCACACAGATCTAAAATAAACATGCGATTTATTTCCCAGCTGTTTACCTTCACATTCATAACCGACTGTTTTTGTAACTCATGTGTGTTTTTAACGTAAACTTGTGTGTGAATGAGAACTTAGTTTAGTACTCACATGCTGTGACAGCTGCTTTCTGTACGTGTACACTCAGAAAACCATATATCAGAAGTTTAAACTAATATGGCTTAAAACGCATGATTTCAGAGCAATACACATGATAATCAGAACCAAAACAGACGTTTTTTTAGCAGGTACAAGCTGTAATTGCGCAGCTCTATTCTGGAAAAGGGGGTGGGGAGCAGCAGCTCATTTGCATTTAAAGAGACATACTCTAATACAGCGGTGGCGAACTCCGGTCCTGGAGAGCCGCAGCCCTGCAGAGTACAGCTCCAACCCTAATTAAAACTCACCTGCCTGTAGCTTTCTAGTAACCCATCAGACCTTGATTAGCTTGTTCAGGTGTGTTTGATTAGGGTTGAAGCAAAACTCTGCAGGGCTGCGGCTCTCCAGGACCGACGTTCGCCACCCCTGCTCTAATACAACAACAACAAAAATGTTTGCAGTTGAGTCAAAAGAAAAATTTATTTTATTTTTTTGCTTCTCAAATAAATTAATCTTGTTTTACGGATGTTTCAATATTTTTACTGGAAAACAAGGCAAAAATACTGATCAGGAGCATGATTTTCTGCAGTGAGCTTTGAAGGCCCCTGGCCAACAGCATACGGCACTCTCTCATCTCAGTCACATCTCGATTTAGTTTCCGGTTCGATTCGTCGTGTAGCACACGTCAGCCAGTGGTTTGAATTTGGGGCCGAGAGTGTTCAAAAAGTCCAATGATTCCTGTTCACCCAAGATGCTACAACATCCTACAGATCCTGCAAGTGATCCCATCCCCTCATGCCCATAAGTCTTCAGCAGGTCATCCGCATACCTCCCCTCCTCCTCATCTCCGAAGTAAGCCAGTTTCTGTCACAAAATAAGGGTTGCAAGTTAGGTTACATAATAACTTCAGTGGTGCATGAATGAAAAGCGGAGAGAGTTTGAAATATGAATTTCCTGGGTGAATAAATGTAACAACTTTGCTAGTCAGATTATAATTTACAGGGGTATTGCAAATTATTGAGAATACTATAATTACTATTTTTTATTTTTTGCAAAATATATGCTGCTTATGGTTATGGTGTAAATCTATCCACATAATATTGTTAATTCAATTAAAGGGATAGTCCAATGAAATCTGTCATCATTTACCCTTATGTTGTTCCAAACCTGTATGAATTTTTGCTGATCACAAAAGAAGATATTTTGAAGAAATACAGTTCAGTTCCCACTGACATATATAGTATTTTTTTGAAATACTGTTTTTTGTTTTTTTACCAACTTTGTGTTCCATAGAAGAAAGAAGGCCATACAGCTTTGGAATGACACTAGGGTGAGTACATTTTGGAAGACAGAATTTTCATTTTCAACTTTCAAATTTTCAACTTACCCCTTTAATTAATCAGAATATCATGTAATTAATTCAGTTAAAAATGTTAATTCAGCTCACTCTGTCCAAGTAGCGCCCATTGGTTTTCCATGTGTCCAGAGCACTCGTATTTGATAATTTCTGTAACGTGTTGTTGCCATAAATGTTGTTATCATAGCGCCCGGATGAGTAGAACTTTTCTGTCCCAAACTCCTGAGTGGTGGTGTTGTACACGCCTCCTCCCTGGAAAAACTGCTGCCCCTGGCGTCCTGAAGCTGAAGTCACGTTCTTACTTTCCATGAGGCCGCTCTGTAGAGACCCGTCCACTACCTCTGCCCCAGGAATCATCATCAAAGCTCCATCTTTCTAAAAAGAGAGAGACATTCGAACCAAATATGGTCAAACTCTTCCAGCGGTTTCTCTGCTTAATTTAACCATTTAAAAGGAGGTGTTTTTCTTACCACTTCTTCACCAGGAGCCTCAGTGTTGGATTTCAGCAGCATTCCTCCTGTTCCTGTGTCATCACTAATGTACAGCTTGTCTCTCTTAGTACTGCATATGAAGATGAGCAACAGACCTGAAACGGCAAGAAAAAAAGAAGGCAAATTTACTGGTGTTTCTGAGAATCATTTTCAGGTGTACAATGAAAAATCTATTTAAACCTATTTAAACCAACCATTTAAATCAACTTTGACATGTTTTGAAAGAAAAAAAAAACAATTTAAGACTGAATACCCAGAAAATCTGGAATTCATGTTAAAATTTAAATCCAACTTTTTGTTTTTGTTGATTTATGCTGATATATATAATCTGTAAAATAAAAAAATTTAAAATGGAGAAAAAAAAACTAAAAAGAAGCATTTTCACTAGTAGTCTCAGACCCTTGGACTTGTATTTATAGATTAAGGACAGTAAGATTTCTGTTTTTTATATATATTTTTATACTTTTTTTTAATGGATGCATTAAATTGATCTAAAGTTGCTGCAAAAATTCTATTGAATGCTGCTCTTTTGAACTTTCTATTCCTCAAATAATCCTTAAAAAATGTATCCCCTTTTCCATTAAGCAGCACAACTCTTCAACATTGATAATAATCAGAAATGTTTCTTGAGCACCAAATCAGCATATTAGAATGATTTCTGAAGGATCATGTGACACTGAAGGAGTAATGATACTGAAAATTCTGCTTTACATCACAGGAATACTTTTTTTTTATATATATATATTAAAATATAAAACAATTACTTTAAATTGCAAATCTGTAAATAAATGGTGCTCATAGCCAGAAGGGGGCACTCACTTAAGAGCAGCAGCAGCAGGCCAGAAAGAACTAAGGCAAGGATTCCCAAACTGCCCAAAGAGGAAGAGGCACTCCGAGCTCCACATATTCCCAACCCATTTTCCTCCCTCTCACAGGTGCACACTCGCACATTCACGGTCTGTTCTTTCCCAACTCCTTGCAGATCCTTCACCAAGAGAGGGACGCTGTAGAGACCGGTAGGCATGGCCACTGCCTGTTCCAGCACCACAGATGATTCTGCATTAGAGGAGGAAAGACATGATGTCTGTAATCATACTGCAACTCTTCTGCTTTCCATTTATCAGCCTTTGTTCGTTATTGCTATATTGAGAAATTTTATCATAAAAAATGTTGATAAACCCCCATCACAACCCTCTATCCTTACCTGTAGTATCCTTCAGTTTCCACTTCCCATCTTGATCTGCTCCAAGTTCGAAAATGAAGGGAGTAGAGTAAGGTCGCTGGTCCATGTCCACAGCTTCAACCAGAACTGAGCTCAGCATATCATCCTTACTACACATGATCAGGTCAGTACCCGGAATCACAGGCATGTTATCATTCACGTCTTCAATCTGGATTTTAACCATCCCCTTTCCTGTCTTCTTACCTGAGGAAAGAGAGATTCCAGTGAATTTCATGTGACTTTAGAGAACAAAATTGCCAGAATACAACTGGATGACAATGCACAACTTTATTTCTCACAACTGTGAGCTTATTTCTCATAATCGTGACAAATTTATCTCAACAGCGAATTTCTTACAAATATGACTTCACATCTGACAACTGCAACTTTCTCATAACTGTGACTTTATATGTCATAATTACAACTTTATATCTTGCAGCTGTGACTAAATATCTAACAGTTGCAACTATATTTCACAATTGCAACCCTTTTTCTCATAATTGTGACAGCTTTGTTTCTCATAATTGCAACTTTATTGCAATCATTGCTTCACATCTCATAATTGTGTCTATTTATCTCTTTATTGCAACTTTTTCAAAATGGCAACTTCATATCTCATAATTGAGACTTTATATCCCACAATTGTGACTACATATCTCACAATTGCAACTTGATATTTCATAGCTGCAAGCTTCTCATAATTGTGAAACTTTATCTCACAATTCTAACTTTCTTACAAAAATGGCTTCAAATCTCTTAATTGCATGTTTTTATCTCTTATTTGCAACTTTCTCATAACTGCGACTTTACAGTATATCATAATTGTGACTACATCTCACAGTTGCGATGCTTTATCTCACAATTGTGACTTTATATCTCAAAACTGCGACTTCTCATCTCACAACTTTTTACAGTATGTCACATTGTGACTATTTCTTTGTCTCAAAATCCCCCTTTTTTTTGAAACAGGTTTTACATACATGCACATGATTTGTGAAACGTTTCTCAAAAGCTATGACCAATCACACAGTCTGTGCAGCTGTGACTAAATATCTAACAGTTGCAACTATATCTCACAATTGCAACCCTTTTTCTCATAATTGTGACACCTTTGTTTCTCATAATTGCAACTTTATTGCAATCATTGCTTCACATCTCATAATTGTGTCTATTTATCTCTTTATTGCAACTTTTTCAAAATGGCAACTTCATATCTCATAATTGAGACTTTATATCCCACAATTGTCACTACATATCTCACAATTGCAACTTGATATTTCATAGCTGCAAGCTTCTCATAATTGTGAAACTTTATCTCACAATTCTAACTTTCTTACAAAAATGGCTTCAAATCTCTTAATTGCATGTTTTTATCTCTTATTTGCAACTTTCTCATAACTGCGACTTTACAGTATATCATAATTGTGACTACATCTCACAGTTGCGATGCTTTATCTCACAATTGTGACTTTATATCTCAAAACTGCGACTTCTCATCTCACAACTTTTTACAGTATGTCACATTGTGACTATTTCTTTGTCTCAAAATCCCCCTTTTTTTTGAAACAGGTTTTACATACATGCACATGATTTGTGAAACGTTTCTCAAAAGCTATGACCAATCACACAGTCTGCCGATAAAATTAGGCCAGCAAGCAGCAAAAACACCCATTAACAGCATAGCAACCTGATGACGTCCAAAGATAAAAAATCAAACGTAAAAGGCACATAAGAGTTCAAGAGGGGCGAATGTACTCAGTTCTTCCTGGAATGCCATTCAACAACGTTCAGTGTTTAGAACATGTAGTGTCAGGTAGGACATGTGGATAATCATCAGAAAGACATGTTATATTACACCACAAAATACTGACGAAATCTTCTCAGAGGCCTGAAGCTATTTCTACCCAACCACACCCAAACAAATGGTCTTTCATTAACAGCCAGAGAAAACACACATAAACAGGTTTTACATACATGCACATGATTTGTGAAACGTTTCTCAAAAGCTATGACCAATCACACAGTCTGCCGATAAAATTAGGCCAGCAAGCAGCAAAAACACCCATTAACAGCATAGCAACCTGATGACGTCCAAAGACAAAAAATCAAACGTAAAAGGCACATAAGAGTTCAAGAGGGGCGAATGTACTCAGTTCTTCCTGGAATGCCATTCAACAACGTTCAGTGTTTAGAACATGTAGTGTCAGGTAGGACATGTGGATAATCATCAGAAAGACATGTTATATTACACCACAAAATACTGACGAAATCTTCTCAGAGGCCTGAAGCTATTTCTACCCAACCACACCCAAACAAATGGTCTTTCATTAACAGCCAGAGAAAACACACACACACCTATTCATAGAACAATAGAGTACAGTGTGTACTCAGAAATACACCAACAGTGGGGCATAGGTGTGTGTTGTGCTGAATGTCCACAGATTATTAAACTAATATCTTAAATTTAATCTAATAATGTTGTCAAGTGTGTGACATAAAGTCCAGACTCACTCTCATCCACAGCTCTGATGGTTATGTTGTACATATTCTCGTGGACCAACGGTGATTCTCGGTCTATAGTATTGGCTGTTTTCAGTTCTCCAGTGTTCTCCACCACAGTGATCCAGTTACCAGGGTCAGTCATCTTATAGTACCTTACACATGAATGGAATAGAAAAGTGAGAAAGTGCATTCAAAATATGGTATAAAGTTGTTTCATTTACTATTACATTACCATAATACACTCTGATGTCATATATAAAGACACTAGATGCTTTAAAAGAAAAATTTAAAATCTTAAAGCCCTGTATAATTAGAATGTTTTTTTATTCATTTCTTTGGAAGCATTTGCATGAGACATGTTCTTGCTTGTCTTCAAAAACAGCTAGTCAGAGCACAACAGAACAGAAGACCAATGGCGGTGCTTTAAATGGAATTCTTTATTATAAAACGGATAGTTCCAGTCCTTGATTCTGATTGGTTGAGCCGGGTTCGAACTAAGCTGTTGTAAATTACACTACAAACATACACCTTTGTTTACTTCTGTGTGTTGCCTGGCAACCACTTTGTTGGAACCACAACTTTTTTTTTTGTTAATTATTACAACTGTTTCTGAGGAACTACATTGTTTGGTGGAAGAATACTGTTTTATTCATATCATTACACTTTATTTGCTTTGTTTTATTACGTACTACATATATGGAATAAACGTTTTAAAAACACTTTGCGTCGTGCCTAACAATGCCCCTTAGCTGTTATAAATTCACTCTAAACCATGGCTTCTTGGGGCTTATTGCTTTAGTTAACCTCAAATAAAACCCACATCATCAAAGAACATACTTTATTCCATTGCTGTTCTTATTTTCTGGGTCCAGAGCTTTATAGGTTCCAATGATGGTTCCATTGGCAACATTCTCCTTGACTTTGAGATATAGAATGCCAGGGTTGAACTCTGGCCCTTCATCTTCATCTCCAACACTGAGCTCGAGTGGCACAGAGAGCCATTTAGTGTCAGGCCCAACCAGTGGAACCTCATTACGGGCAGTTATTTCCAGCTTCACCAGTGGAGTTTTTTCAAAATCCAATCCCTGAAAGTAGAGAATAGAAGGGGAATGAGGACATTGAGAATTTACCCAGGTACATCTACATAAAGCTTGCTTATTAACCCAAAAGCACCAATTCTGTGAAGAGTTGTCAAAAGCTCTGCCTTGGATTCTCCTTGAAGAGAAGAACCTGTGTTTACACACCTGATGGATGTGCTGTAGTATAACAGGGTGTGGCTGAACTGCACATGCATATCCAACAGACAAGCGTTTTCACAAACAGCTCTAAAATAGTGAGACAACCCTGCAATGGCGCTATAAATAAAACCAACACAACCCTGTCAGAGAGTGAAGAGAGAGCTCTCAAGATAATGACTATGACCCTCAGCGGAAGCTTATTGCTACAAGAACATACTAGCAAAGTGCAAATTCTGCAAAAACGGATTCATCAAGGACATCTATTTCTTGCCCCAAAAAAATTATATATATATATGTATATATATATATTTGCTGCAAACTATTAAAATGATATATAATAAATTATATATGGCATAATGACAATGAAGCTTATATTTTGTACCATTAATATTTTTTTTGCTTAGTGACTGACCAGTGTTGTTGTTGTTAACTAAAACTAAAATTATTTTTTTTTTAAATTCCTTAATTAAATTCCTAAATTAATTAAAATAAAGCTGAAATAAAATAAAATATAAATTTGAGATGAAAAACTTTAAAAACAGTAAAATTACAAATGTTGCATTGGGCAACTAACAAAATAACATGAGTTTAAGTACTACATTTACTAAAACAAAAAACTGAAATAAAAATAACAATGACAAAAGCACATAACAAAATTACTAACATTTAATGAAAGCTGAAAATCTGAAAGTAAAAACTTTTCAAATATTAATAAACACTATAATAGTATACAAATAATACTAACAGAACACCAGTTGTGACTATCATTTTCAAGACTATTCAAAATATTTTACCCAGCAATTCTTATCATTTTAATGCATTCTGGAATATTTCCTTTTACTTTATTTTTACTATTCCCATTATTTTCAATAATTTTTATTATCGTAATACAATATTTTTATTGCATTAGAGTAAAACAATATGGTTATACAATGGATAATGGATACAATGGAAAAATTATACTGCCATGATGGACAACTACTATAGAATAATATACCATGTTTTGCATTACATTATTAAGCCTGTACTTGATAGTTAGGAATGTATGTTTTGTCCTTCTCTTTCGTACCTGCCCTGCAACGCTCTTCTACGGTGAAGAATCGACCTCCTATGAATTCAGGGGCATTATCATTCTTATCCTCCACATTCACAATGATGGGCAGAAATTCATCTGTTTCCCTGCCACTTGCGTCATATACATGAGCTTTAAACTACAACAAGAGAAACAAGAGAAGCAGACATATTTAGTTGTACTGATGCTTTAATCATATTCCAGACCATAAGCGTGTGCACTGTTCTCTGCATAAGGCCTGAAATGTTCAGACTCACACTGAATTGTGGGTACTGCTCACGGTCAACAGCCCTGGTCACACTCAGCATGCCGTTGTTCTTGTTCAGAATGAATAGGCCCACAGGATCTGTGGTAACACCCTGCCCACTGATCTGATAATACACTGTGTAATTTACTGAAGAATCAGACGCAATCTGAGAAAAGATGAACACAGCAGTAAGCATAAGAATAGGAAGTATAACAAAAGGTCAAAATGAGATCATGGAAGGGAGGAGGAAATGGGAAGGGAGTAGTGGAATGACTAAAGAAGAGATATAGCTAATGATACAAGGTCTCACCATCTCCAGTTCCTTTGGGAATGGAGGGCTGTCATTCTCAACAACAGAGAAAGGCAACGGTCTCCATCTTCTCTTAGTACGCTTGTGAGCCGCACTGCTGGACTTCTGAGATAGCTGAAGTCAGAACATATAGAGAAACATTCCTCATGCTGCTGATCCAGATCAAATGGTTTATGGTTAAGAATTACAGGCTGTAGTTTTACCTCCTCTTTACAGGACAGGATTATGTCCACCCTCCAATCCGATCTGTTCTCATCCTGCACCAGTACAGAAAACCGCTTTGTTGTAATCTCCAAACCACGAACTGTGATAATGGTTCCATCTGTATTTACAGTGAAGTCAGGGTCACTGGAAGTAAAGGCCACAGGTTTGGCTTCACAGCCTTTGAGAGTCACTGTGGGGGAAAAAAATGCAACAAAGTCAGGAAATTATACCACAGCTAAGCCTTGTGTCTTTCCAAAACCATAAGTAGTTTGAATCTATTACTTGTTTTCCACCCAATATCATATCACTAAAGCTTTCAAAGTTCAAAAAAAGAATGTAAAAGCACCATAAAAGTATCACCAGTGCTGCTATTGTCAACTAAAACTAAAAGTATTACAAAACATGTCCGTTAATTGAAAAAAAACTGGAAAAAAAACATTTAATAAAAAACGTACTATTAATATAAAATAATAAAAAAGCAATAAAATACAAAAAAGAAAGAAATTAGACTTATTGATTTGGCAACTAACTGAAATAAAACAGTAATAAAGTACTAAAATTACTAAAACTTTAAAATTAAAGCTAAATGAAAGCAAATCATTATTTACTGATAATCTTCCCATTCAGTTGACTTTTCATTTTCATTTGACTTCTATGATACTTTTATGCTGCTTTTGTGTCTATTTGAAGGTCCTTTTTCATTCCATAGAAGCAAGAAAGTCACACAGTCTTGGAACGACATGAGGGTGAGTAAATGATGACAGAACTTAACATTCTTGGAAGAGCAAATTCTTTTACCATTAATTATCTTTACGTAAACGTTAGCAACATCAAATGAAGGAAAAGCTTAGTCTGCATAAAGTCAGACAAGATCATTTCATGTCATTCGGATGAAAAGGCTCAGTGACATCACAAATCTTACATTCTTCCTTGCCTTCAGAAATGACATAACCGGCGGGCAACCTCTTAGGAACCTGAGCAAGCACAGGCCTCAACTCACAAGATGCAGCGCTCTGAAACAGCACCTGAGGGAGGAATTGAAAGTGAGTGAGAGGGAGAATCAAGGGTGTATTACATTCCCCAGTGTGATTGAGCAAAACCTGAGTAATGTGGTTTGAAACAACACGTTACTTCAAATCCTAATTCTAATGAATCAGGCGAGGATTGTGATTATCAGAATCATGTTAATTGTAGGAATTAGAATTTATTTTAAAAACTTTTAAAACAGTATATAGCCTACTCCTTATTGTCATAATTTAAGATACTGTATTAGAGTGTTTGGCTTGCAAAAAACATTATTAATAATCAGTACCTTTGTCTTATTTTCTTGTTTTACACAGCAAACCACCTCACATTGTTACTTGATTGTTTCATTCAGATCTAAACAGCTACATAGTATGAAAGCATTACACCACAGTGCCTTTGTTTGTGTGTGGCAAACAAAGAGTGATGAACCGAAACAATGACTCCCATAACTCAAGAATGACATGGGAAACTGTGGCTAATTTACCCTCTAACTCTTAACACTTTCTATTCTATTTTAATTCTACTTTATCTATATGTATCTTCTTTTTTTATTTTTTTAATAAAAAACAAAAAACAACACTAGCTTTCTATTTTTTTTCTATTCTATCTACTTGATTTTGTGTGTGTGTGCATATGTATGTGTATATATATATATATATATATATATATATATAGCTTTCTATTTTTTTCTATTCTATCTACTTGATTTTGTGTGTGTGTGCATATGTATGTGTATATATATATATTTACACCTTGCAATGTGTACTGCGTTAGGCTAACCGAGACTTGTCATTTGCACTTATATATTGTTGCTCTTTTGTTAGTTTTGACTGCTTTTATTGTCCTCATTTGTAAGTCGCTTTGGATAGAAGCGTCTGCTAAATGACTAAATAAATAAATAAAATAAAATAATAAAATACAATAAGAACATAGCTAAACAAAACCACTATCAAAGAAACATTAACCATATGCCAAAATAGAACGCCGATTTCAAGTACTCTACATGCTGCTATAGGGTATTCCGTCTCATTTCATGGTGTAATATTATGGGTTTCGGTTATATATCAGCTTTATCTTATCTCCAAACAAGACTGACCTGTCCAGTGGAACCTGTAGATCTAAACACTTGAAAATAAGTGAAAATGAATTTGACTTTGCTTAAGTGTTTATTGTCATTGTGTCTTCATGTGTCACCAACAAGTCAATAAAACATGCAAAAAAGAAAGTGTGCCTTTGGGTGTTTACCCCAGTGCATGAACCTAAACAATATCAGCAAATCACAAAGTTTACAAATGACATTTGGGTTTTAATTGATCCATCACTAACAAATAAAAATAACTGACCGACCCAGTGAACTAAATACGAAACAGTGAATTAACGAATGAATGTATGAATGAATGAGGACATTTACAATAGCATATTTTAACATAGTTTCACCCTGGATGATACTAAGCAGACATAGGAACAAAATTGTGTGATGGGAAAAAAACAACAACAACATTCCATCAGGCTTTTCAAATGCAGATAATTAATTAGTGAGAACTTTTTATTCTAAAGTGTTAATGTTCAAGTACTGTAGTTTCATCCCTTTGAAATCTACAACACACAATTAACCAATATCCAATCTAAATCATTTCCAAATAGTTTGTAAAAAAAAAAAGGTAGGGGGGAAATGTATTATTCTATTCATTAAATTTAGTAGGCCTATTTGTTTTGCTGTAATAAAAAATAAAAATACACTTATTTTGAGAATAAGTATATAAAATATAATAAAACTTCCGTCAACATCTTGTGTATATAGGCCTACATCTTGAGTTTATTTTAGTATATAGCTACAGTTAAAATGTAGTAACATATTTGACAGCAAGTACTCTCCTATAATCTTACAAAAAATATCTTCTCAAGTAAATGTATGTTGATTTAAGGGTGTTTAGATATTTTGGGGGGAAACAGGACGAAATATCGATTAATAAAATGCGCATAACAATATAACAACTAACTAGCGTTTTGACGGAAACTATGGTTACCAAGGTAATTAGGATACGGCAAGAATTCAGGTAGGCCTAAAACTATATGTGACCTAAAACAAAATGACAATAAAGCAAAAAAACATTTGACAACCGCAACTTTAACTTACCAGAGTAAGCAGGCAGAGAGCGAACAGCGCGCGTTCATACATCCTGCTGTGTGAGTGTGTGTGTGTTGAATTTCTCTGGACTGCACCGCACTGCGTGTATCTACAGACCTGCTCGGATAAAGTCCTCTGGGTGCGGCGCGGCTCTCATGCCATTAAAGTCTTTAACATGGGGGTGGCAGAGCCTCAGCCTCTCACTTTTTTGTATCAATGGGGCTGAATGGTTAGTCTTGAGTACACTATACAGGTTGAACTATGCTTTGCCCGTGACTTCCTTAGCTTGGGAAGCTCTGGAAGGCTTAGACTCCACCCCAAACTGCCCCTTGAAACTCCCTCTGAGTTTGTGTGTGTGTGTGTGTGTGTGTGTGTGTGTGTGTGTGTGTGTGAGAGAGAGAGAGAGAGACAGGGAGGTTATACTTTAACAGAACAGACTTTCACCTGTTGTACCATCTGACTTTTCAGACATGATTAATGCATGACACAGTTAATCTTCATCTCTTTGGGTGGAGTGCAGGAGGTACTCATGATGATACATACAGTCATCACATGTAGCTACACATTTAGCAAAGAAAATTAACTCTTTTACAACTTTTGCATTTGATCACCTAATAAGCCCATTAAAAAAAAATGTTTAAACCCAGCTTGAAACCACTCACATGTGCACACCTTTTTCACGTGGGATGTGATTTATTCATTTTGAATTACTAGCTGGTCCAGCGTGCGGCTCTGTATTTCACCTCTTAATATCAGTGGTGCATTAGGCCTTAAAATGAAAATATGTGACCCGTTGACCTAAAGTCTTACAGAATGCAGTTTTGCTACGAGGAATTGGAAGGGACTGGGAAAAAGACAGGAAATTAGAAGATGTGCTTCACGTCAACCAAAACACTGCTTCACTTCTTGAACTGATAAGAGAGTGACTTAGACTGAGCAAATGATTTAGACACTCATGAGAGCAACAATGAAAGTGTTCAAATAATGACATTATTAGAACCTTTCAATATGGTGCAGTTTTTAAAGCATTAGAGCCTCAAATCTGATGTTTTTGCTGTGCAAACTATAAGATAAATTATTAGATCATAAAATCAACTTTGCATGAAAAGTAAGATGTATTCTCAATGTTTTGGCCCATTAAACCTTAGGGGCTGTGACCTTATTGGCTTTTTCCAGCAATTAAAATCATACAACAGGCTGTTGAATTTTGAAAATGCCTAAAACCAACATTATTAACCAACGTGTGTGCAACCTTGTTATCATATGATTTGCCCCATTGCTAGAAAATAAAATCACACAGCTTAGAATTTATTTATTTATTTATACGTCTGCAAAACTAGCAAATCTAATGTAACATGAATTGAAAACTAAATAGCTCATATAATATTTGACCTCATTAGGTTGATTATCATCATTTCTGAAGGTTGAGTTTCTTGGAAAACACTGGGGGAAAAAACTAAGCTTTTTAGGCCCTATTTTGTACCATTTTACGTAAAGCACCATTATTTGAACATATTTTTTTGAAATATGCAACTTTATTTGCCTAAATTTTTTCTGGCCATATAGTAGTGTCAATTTCTAAACTCGTTTTTTTTTTTTTTTTGCTGAAAAACCGATAAGAGAGACAGAGAAGGGGGGTTAGGGATATGTGCCCAAACAAACAATGGACAAAGGCAGGTATTGTTTTTCAATGAAAAGTTGTATTTCTTGTTTCTGTGATCAGTTAAATGAAAGCTAATTTATTAAATATAAAGAAATATAAAGAAAAATAAATATGAATATAAATAAAGTTTCTGGATACCCCACATATGATAACAAGTTTATGTGTAATTCAAATAGAATTTTTTTTTAATGATGTAATATTAAAATGTACGCTTAAATCAGTTATATGAATTTCATTCCATTTTAATTCTATGTCATTAAATTTGATTCAGATTTATAGTTTTGCATCCAGTTTGCTGCCTCAATTCAAATTCAGGAACACAAATTGGAAATCTTTATTCAATTCTGAATGGTGTGCAAAAGAGAAAGACAAAAGAGACAGACAGTAAACCCGAGAGAGCATGAGAAAGAGAATCCAGTCACTCAACCAAGTGTGAGATGGGATGTGATAACTATTGACAGTGACGGTGCAGCTGCTATTGATACACGCTGACAGCGAACGTCCCCGATTCATCCAAACCTCAAGCATAAACCACAAACCATTTTCACTCTCAAACAGATTTATTTTCAGACAGCTCACATATGTACTTCAGTATTATGTAGCACAGCTTTGTTTAGGATAATGCATTCTGCCTGCATGAGCATGCATGTAATTCAACACGAGAGATCACTCTGCGCTCTGTTTGTTCACTCTCTGAGCGCAGATATGTGACCCTCTCTGTCTCTTATTTCCTTTCCCTCATTTTGCAACCTCTCAGTAAATGCTGAAATGAAACAAATATATGCATAATGTGTGAAACATTATAACAGCATGTACAAAAATGTATCACAACAACACATTTTCTTACCTAAACATGATGTTTTCAGGACATTTAAAATATAGTTTGGGGGCATTGGAAGTTGTGTCACTTGTACTGGGTGTGCCGTATTTTAAGTGCAGATGTGTGACAGGTAGGTATGTCTGATGACAGTCAGACAGTGAGTCAGTGGTTCCACCCCAATTGGCCTCTCATAGCATTCAATCAATGTCAGCACAAGATTTCTGATTCTATCTCTGGGCCTCTCTACACTCAAATACAACATTTTTCGATGAATGAAAAATATCCTGTTCAATTTTCAGTAATTTACTGTAAAATATGGTGACAATGCTTCAGGTATGTGATGACATATTAATGACTGTATAGTTGTACAAGCTATAACTATAATGTATTTCCAGAGGCGGACAAAGTACACAATTCTATTACTTGAGTGACAGTACAGATACTGCTGGTCAAATATTACTCCATTACAAGTAAAAGTTGTAAAGACAGATTTGTACTTAAGTAAAAGTACAGAAGTACTTGCTTTTAAAAGTACTTAAGTACCAAAAGTAAATTTCCTTTTTTGTGTCAATACACTGTTTTATTACTGTTGTATGTAAAATTTGCAATACCTTTGAAGCAACTTACAATACATTACACCTACTGAATACACTGACTAGCTTGTAGTATCTTTTACTACAGAGCTGTGTTTTAACATAGCTTTTAGAATGTTAAAAACCTATGGGGGAAAAAACTATACAAAACAAACAAAAACATTTTTTTTATTTAACACCCCTACCCACCCCCACAAAAGCAGGATGGTAGTGATCTCACACAGCTCTGACAGTGTGTGCACACATCTATGTGTAGCCATTTATCCACATTTGAACAGAGTGGACAGTGAAATTGCTGTAAATACAGACTGATAAGGAAGAAAATAAAAAATCAAACCTGCTTTAAAACCCAGCAACACAACTGTAGCTGTATAACTTTACAACAGCAACGTTGCTTTAACAAAAAAATCTAAACAGCAAGACTTATTTGACATCAAAACAAAAATTAATTAAATGCCGTCTAATCGCTCTCGCTGTACTTTGATGTCACACACAGAACGGTCTGTGCAGTGCTGCTTCAGTCAAACACCTATTGTGTTTTATTAGGAGACGCACAACAGTTCTTCTGTGGCTTTATAAGTAATATTTTCACTTACACAATTTAGCAAAATCAGACAATATTGTGTCTAGTATATACCACAATATTAACTTCTTATTTGATTACTGATAAACTGTCTGAAAAAAAATCACCCACTGACTTTCAAAGCTGCTAACCACTTTCTACTTCGAGGATCTTGATAGGAATGTAGTGGAGTGAAAAGTATAATATTTGTCTTTCAAATGTAGTGAAGTTAAAGTCATAAGTTCCCAGAAAAAATTATACTCAAGTAAAGTACAGATACCCGCCTCTGTGTATTTCATTAAGTGACATAATGTAAATATTCCAATATATTTCAACCAAAATCTGCTTTGTACACTACCGTTCAAAGGTTTGGGATCAATAAGAACTTTTTTAAATAAATTCATAATTTTATTCAGCAAAGACACAATAATTTGATCAAAAGCCACAGTAAAGACTTATGTTTGTATAAGTGTACATTGTTATAAAAATGAAGTGAATTTACTGTTTCCACAAAAATAATAAGCAGCTGTTTTCAACACTGACAATAATAAGAAATGTTTCTTGGGCAGCAAATCACCATATTATTATGATTTCTGAAGGATTTAATGATTTCTGAAATTATACTAATAACTGTTGAAAATTCAGCGTTGCCATCACAAGAATACATTTACTTAAATAAAAGTGTGTGGGGGGGGAGCACATAATTTAAAAAACAAACAAACAAAAAGCTGTGCTGATGTGCTGTACTACTCCACCTGAACCTAACAGAAACCATGTTAGAACATAAATTATGAAGATTTACTGGTTATAGTCTTTAGTGAATAGAAGCAAAAGGTTGGCTAAAGCTTCAGCTCGGCATGCCTGAGTGCTAGGAAACACTGTTTATTTGAGACTCTAGACAAGCCTCTCTGGCCTTATCTGAGCTCAGGTTTCACTCTAACCGTTGCCATGGAGCTGTTTTCTTTTGACTGCGCTATTAAAGAGGCACAAAGAGAAAGAGAAAGAAAGTAAAAGAAAGAGTGCCCTCATACAAAGAGAGGAAAGAGGAAAGAGGGAGGAAGAGAAAGGGAAATAAAGATTGTGGCGACTGAGAACTGTAACATTATAAACTTTTGAAAAAAATGAACAGAATGCTGTTATGAGCCTAACTATGAGAAAAATGGGAAGCAGAAATGACAGAGCGAGAGCGAGAAAGACACTAATTATGGGGAGAAAAAAAGAGAAGGAAAAAAAAGAGTCAAAGTAATGTCAGTGAAATGCAAGGGTGTGTCAAAGGCCAAATATGATGCGATTTCAATTTTTCCTTTCTCTTTGGAGTGTTACAAGCTCTTGGTGCATAAAGAAGATCTGTAAAGTTGCAAAGACTAAAGTCTCAAATCCAAAGAGATATTCTTTATAAAAGTTAAGAGTCAACCACGCCCTCCTAAAACGGCTCGTTCTAACACGCCCCCACATATCTACGTCACGATGTGGAAAGATTTGCATAATGCCGCCCAAATGTTCACACAAAGAAAGAAGGCGTAACTTTTATTCTCG